TCCATAAAAATAGCATATAATCCTTCTTTTAATACTTTTAATATATTAGATTTGATGGGCCAAAAAGACATCTATATACACTGTGCTGCTAATATATACAGGTGTGTATTCTTTACCTCCACCCACCCATCCTCTAATACACTTTTTTTTTTTTGGTAAATCTTTCAATGAAATCCGTAGAGTCATCATTGCAAAGGCTGATCAAACTGCTGACATGTTGTGAATGTAGCTTATCTTCACTGTTTATGGGTCTTATGGTCACCAGTTTCCTTCCTTCTTTCTAGACAATGCTGAAAAATGTTGCTGCTAAGCTATCATGTAAACATTTACCTCATGCCAGAATAACCATTAAAACAATCTGTCTTAAAATGATAATGGAGTCCATTTTTAACAGGCCCCTTGATTAAAAAGCAATAGTGTTCCAAGGACACTACTAGACATTTCTCTCTTTTTTACAGCAAAGACTAGGTTTCTACTGGAAACTTGAAATGCAAAACTGACAGACCATGGTCAGGGAGAGGAACAAAGATGGTCGGATCCTATGCTACAGGAATAATTCATAGGGTTTTTTGTTTTGTTTGACGTTTCAAAATCTCAAAGCAAGTTGGAGCTATAGATTGTTAATGGAATCCTGTCCAAAAAAGAAAGACACAGGGAAAGCTATTTAAATTATAAAAGATTCCATCTGCTAAAACCTTAAAATATTGGTTATTAGAATATATCCCATGCATACAAGGGAAATCTTTGGGTGAATTGTTGTGGATGCATTCAATTACTGATAGGAGAGCTCACTGGAGTGGCTGAATGGTTGTTTTTTTTAAAAAAAATAGGGATGAACTTCAAAAATCACAAAATGTACATGACTAAAACTGCATTCTATTAAAAACTCATTTGGCCATGCCATTGCATTCTCCCAAAAACAATAGATGCCTATCTGGAAGGCACCTTCTTGTTTACAAACATTTTTGTTTGCTTCATACAATAAAACATATCCTTCTGCATATAAAACATAGACTAGATTTCTATAACACTCAGTCCTCCAATTGTTATCTTCAGCTCCATGAATACTTTACCAAGTTGAGGAAGATTGAAAAACCCTAAAGCTTGCAATTATTAGCAAAATACAGATTCTGATAATGGATATTCTTTCAACCCACCCTATGCAGAATAAACATTAGGGTTTGGCTATATAGCTGAGCTTGTCTAAAAAAATTTTGATTCCATAAAAACTTCTCAGAGTGGTCACAGAATAAACTTGCAATGCATGGCAAACCTGGTTCTAAAATAATAACGTGGGATTTATAGCAACCTATATGGTTTGGTTTTCCCCAGGTGTCTCAGGGCTGTTTTGTACCATGCCTCACACAGAAAAAAATGGAAACTGCACTTGGGATCTAACCTTATATCATTGGTATGAGTGTTGTTTTAGTTGAATTTACAGATTAGGCAAGTAAAAAGAACACATTATTTTTCAGATAGGTAGGAATAAGAAACTCATAAATCTAAGCCAGTCATACTGATAAAATAATTGATTCTCTAAAGTCTATACCAAGTGTGGGGAACATGTGTCTCCACAACTCCCATGAGATCTCTGTTAACTATTAAAGCTGGGGCTTCTGGGAGTTGGAATTCAACAATACTTGGAGGACCACCATTGTATTATGGCATCATAAATTGCTGCAGTTAGTTTGGTAACATGAATCCTGCATCAATGTCAAACATATGTATTCTGTAGTAACTTTACTCTCCAGCTGAGGGCATAACAAACTTATATTCAGAATCTTCATACTGGATATTAAAGGGCTGGGATAAATTCAAAAAGTTAATAAACAGCATTTAAAGAAACTACATAAAAACATTTTCTATTGTCTTCCCACTTGGTAAAATAGTAAATATATTACACTTCTGCATATATAGGTTTACAACAAAGGTGATTTTAAAAAATCAGGCACTCCATACATTGGAGAGGACTGTACTAGAAAGCAGATTTAAATACTGTATGATTCTTCCACCATTCATGCTATCCCAGAACTGTGAAAATTACAAGCTTTACTAGTGTCAGCCCTCTAAGAAAATTTGAAATTCACCAGTGCAGTTATACTTTTCACCTACCCCAAAACATTCAGCTGAGTTCACACCTTCCTTTTTACAATGCTCTAAATATTTGGCCCAAGTTTTTCAAACTTAGCAATTTTAAGATGTGTGGACTTCAACTCCCAGAATTCCCCCAGTTTGGTAGCTGGGGAATTCTGGGAGTTGAAGTCCTGACATCTTAAAGTTGAGTAACACTGTATTAGGCTATAGCCTGTTCTTGTAACAACACCCTGACATTGTAATCTGCTTCCTGCCTGATAAACCAATAGGTTGACTGATTTAAAACATATACATATAAGTAATCAGTTCAAAGATTGCAGTCCTCCAATTCACACATTAGTGAATAATCCACTGAGCATAACCAGGCCTCTGAGTAAACGTACATAGGATTGCATTGTTGCAGTGCAGTCTTACAAATGTTTACTTGGATGTTAGCTGTATAACGTTTATCAGGGCTCACTCCTGAGTAACAGGGCATAGGATTGCAACTTCACAATGAGAGTCCAACACCAGACAGTTTGCCCCAACATATGTGAAATGGCTCTTGCTTTCTGTCATGTTCAGATTTTTGGTGAGGAAAATTACATTATATGCCTGCTCAAAGCTCTTTAGTCTTTAATATTTAGATTAAATATTCCTCAGAATATTGAAACATTTTAAACATCATGCTCTTCTGACATAGGGGGCAGAAACTAGGAATTTTTACATCCAAGTGTAATTCTCTTTGTGTCATCATATGTTGAGGTAACTGAATTTGGCTGGAGCCCAATTGAAGGGGGACTGCATGTCTTATTATAGCATTACTTGCAGTATCAGAAGAATCTGAGTGCTTCCAGATGGAATACACAAAAATAGCTAATTAAAGATGTGATACTGCTATTTTTTCTTCTTTAACAGAGTTTTGGAAAAAAATAAAAAATATAGAAGTGGTGGAAAAACTTAAGAAAGTTACAAGCAGAAAGAAACTAGGTCAGGACCCAAGGCACCTTAACAACATTATTTTCTCTTGTAGATACAGTTACTGATCCTATATAGATTTACTATCATAGTCCCCACAAATTATAATTTGATGTACATGCTGAGGATTTTTGTTATACACCTATGTCCCTGCTACTAACTACAGTACAGAACAATTCTTACAACTGTTGGGTGAGAAGGAAGGTTGCTGTGCTGCTGAATTGTCCTTGATTCCTATTTATATTATGATGAACACTTTATGACTTTGACTACATTAATGAAAACAGAGAGCCATGATTACATGGTCAGATGTACAGATCTTTAAGTAGAAAGCTTCAGAAAAAGCATGTCCCTGACAATTTAGTTAAAAGAGAAAAAGTCCACCAAAATGGTTCTGTTTCATGATTATCCTCTTTCTCCAATTTGGAGATATATATTTTTTGAAAATTTTAAGCAAATATAAACTAAATAACAACTTGTTTTGAAGTTATGTTTGCAAGTACAAAATTGACTGAATATTGAATTATAGGTGAAATTTTCAACTATTTTATTATTTCTCAGCTCTAGCACCACACTTAAGAGATACTTTTCCAACATCATGAATTAAATGAGATATGAGATTCTCATTACTGAAACAGTCAATTTAATCACATATACTTTGCCAACACACAGCTGCTCTGACTTTCCTATTTTGCATTGAAGACTGCTTCTTACCTTATGTCTTCATTCAGACCTACAGAACATATTTCATAAAATTGCAGTCATCTTTTCAGATGACACATTCCTCTTCATTGTGTGCAAAATACATTATATATATATATATACATATACATATACATATACATATACATATACATATATATATAAATAAAAGCCCTATAATTATTTTAAAAATTACATCCTTGGGTATATATTGGGAAAGACTAAGTTGCCTAGTGTGCCTCTTAGACAGCTATTTTGCTATGTTATATATTGTTTTCCCTGTTAAGGAAAAACTAGCTTTCAGTTGATGGAAGAGGACAACAGATGTAATATGAAGGGTTTCAGAAGTTCCTACATTTTCCTTTCACTCAAAAAAGAGATTATTTATGGAGAATTAAGATTAAACCACTACTATTTCTTAAGTCAGGTATGAGTCAAGAAGAGATTAAATGTGTTAAAGAATAAGACCATCAGTGATCAGCATTCCTTTCTGCAAACTAAAATGAAATGTGCAATGAGACTTATAGGTGATGAAAACACATATTTATCTGCAATTGGCAATCAAGCTTCCACCACTCGGTTATGGTGCTGGTCACCTGAAAATCCAAACATTATTGCTAGATATAAGTGGCTTTTATTCAATGTGAAAACCTCCTTATGTGTCATACTTGCAACAAATGTCATGGCATGTGCTTCTGTGGAGTGGAGCAATGCACAACACCCTTACTTTGTAACATGGGAAATTTGCAGCTTTTCCCAAGCTTTATCCTCCAGGTGCTGGCAGAGAATTCTGAGTACTATATTCCTAACATAATTGGATAACATCAGGGAAAAGAAAGCTAGATAAATGTGTTACAATGAGGAGAACCTGACTCAGGAATGTAGATCTCATATGAATACAACCAAATTCCAGCATATATATTCTGGCCACCAATTTCTTGATCAGACAAAAGGCAGAAAGTGGTAGTCCCAGAGAATTAGCTGAAAGTTGCAGTGAAACATAAAATGATGCCTACCCA